CCCCCCCCCCCCCCCCCCCCGTTCTCCTACCCTACCCAATCATGCGCCTTGTGAATCGGTTTGTTGTGATGGTCGTTGCAGCCTGTGTGTGTCGGAACATAGTATCCCGTTCGACTGTGGGTTGTGGGTGTATCTCGAATGGGTAGTCTTTCTGTGTGTGTTTTTATTATTCCTTAATACAGTATCTATGCAGCCGCATCTAAACAGATATTGACGGTTGGCTTTGGTTGCCCAACAGCTGGTCGCCCTTGTTGGTACCTAATACAATTGTATGTAGCCTATGATTGTTCAACAGGGCGCGTTGAAACCGTCCTGCTGCTGTATATGGTGTGCATGCTCAAGTTGTAATGAAGTTTTGGAACTCGGCGTGCTCGTGTTCAGCAGTACCCACTCCTTTCGCTCGGAGTTTCTTTTTTGCACGGGGGGCAACCCTCCCTCCGAAGCGGTTGGAGCGACCACGCTTACAGCAAATGATATCCGATCCCACTGATCCACTGCGGTACATCAATTATTACCGGGGTAGAATCACTCGGCCTCACATGTTGCGCGGCTCTTGTTAGTCTTGCAGCTATGCAGCATAAATGAAAGCGCATTCATGCACTACCTTTTGTCATGACACGGGTGTACCAGTAGGGATCAAGTTGAACGTGGTAGATAGGAGATAGATTCCCTCCCTTGTGTTTTCAAGCACACAAGAAACGAGAGAGAGAGAGAGAGAGAGAGAGAGAGAGAGAGAGAGATACTGATGAATTAGCTGGTGCTATCGCACAGACCACTGCTATGCTACGATGCGCAGCGAGTCATGGTGGGTATGGGTAGGTGCATAGGTTTCGATGGTACGCGTAGGTGTAGGTGTAGGTGTAGGTGTAGGTGTAATTACAGGTTGTGCGGAACGAAGGGTTGCCTGCTGTAGAGTGGCCTGCTGCTGCTGCTGCTGCTGCTGCTGGAAATAAATGTGTGTTCTTCCAGAGACAGATATAAGATGCCATTAACCGATTTCGGTATAACCGTCTTTTCCTGTCTCGTCCCTAAAAATACCAATATATAGTGCCCCCGCCTGCATGCAAAACATAGGAGAACGCCCCCCCCCCCGCCTCAGTACATGGGCGTCTCCTCTCACGTGCACCACAGGCGCTGCTATGTACCGCAAGAGACCATGTGCGGTGTGTTGCCTACTACGAGGGCCAGCAGCGTGAGAGGGTATATGCAGAGAGAGAGGGGCGTGTGTGGGTGCCACTGCTTGTCCAGCAACAACACAACAACACACGAGCGCCAAACACAGAACACAAGAAGAAGAACACATACTTGTAAAGAAGACAACAATGTGGCCGTATTGTGCTCACTCCTTACACAGACCGTCGATGAGTAAACACGCTACAACAGGGAAAAACGTCTGTAATCTCGTGTTTCTGTTTTTCACGCCCGGGCCCAGCAGTGTTGGAGTTGTTTGCGTTCCTAATCAGTTTGTTTTTTTCTGCTTTGTTCGGCAAGAGGGTTGCGTGCCGATCCGATCCCTGCTCTCGACGAAATACGGAGGTTCGTATCTTCCCAACCACGGGCCGAGTCTTTGCTAGATTTTGGGATTAGCAACTGACACGAGTTTAATGTGAAGAAAAACAACAACAACAACAACAACAACAACAACCTGCCTGCCGCACAGCCGTCACAAGAAAAAAATGAGTACAAGTACAATTGTGTGCGGTCCTACATATGCACATGTAGGGATATTGTGAGCACAGGCATTCAGCGACAACTGGCGACAGACCTAGTGAATGGTAGACCTCCTGTTGCTGGTGCTGTTCAGGCTAGCGGTGCGGAAGCTTGCGGATGCAGATCGAGGACAATACACACACAAATGCACACAGATTAGCGCGGCCGATGCTAATAATAATACAAATGACACGCACACACACAGACATTCAGATTTGTGTTGTGTTTTCAACCGCACGGAGACTGACGTAGTTTCATTGGTCAGCCGGTTAGCGCGGTCAAAAGAAAGACACACATACACACACACACACACAGACACCGGTTTTGCTCACGACTGGTATTAGCACATAAGCATCTCCCTCCCTCTCGCCCACCTCCTTCCTGAACAATCTCGCCGCTCACAAATCGTCCCCCGCCGCCTCGCCTGCTGCTTCCTGTACGCGTACCTCCGCCAACAGATCTATTTTCCGGACACAAACCTAGACACGGTGCTGCTGCTACCGAGAGAGGCGTTTCTTCGTCATGGACACATGCCATCCCACGAGGAGGCCAAGGTTAGGTTATACATAGGTTATACATAGGGACAGGGGTGGTGTAGTGCTGTTCGAAGCTTGTTGATTGTGGCTTTGGGGAGGAATCAAATTTGCCACTTCTCTCTGTAGCGTGCGCGCGGCACAATCTGGCACCATCTGGCGCTGTTCGAAGCGCAACACGATTCCGATAGACTGGCGCTATTGCGGGCACCATGATCTACTTACTGCGGGCCTTCCGGTAACTGTATGCCGGTAGTGTACCATGATAGTTTTTTCCTCGTTGTCCTTGGTATGGCTCTAGTGCTCTTACGCAGCACCATCCACATCCAGATCTTGTCGCGGGAACAACAGCCCTTATCGTAGCCGCTTGCTTGTGGGATTCTGATTGTGGATTCGGCATGCGCTCGCTAACACACATGACACCGGGAATCTCTCAAGCAACAGCAATTTTGTTTTGCCCGCGTGAAGGTCGCCGCCTGATGCTTGAACATGTGAAGTATGCGGGTTTTGTGGCTCCTTGATTCGAACCGTGGCGCCGACTCAACACACCGACTCAAGTGCTGCTGCGTACATGTCCACGCATGCGGCGACTTTGAAGCGTGCGATGCCCCACAAGCGCGTGGCCCGAACACATGCGCTAATGCTTGAGAGGTGTGATGTTACCGCATGCCGTATCCCACAAGCAAGCGGCTGCATTACTCTGGACGTTTTCGCCATTGGTGTGCCCGCGCTTCCCTTGCTTGGCTGTTGGACTGCGCGACACGCTACATGTCGCTGCCAGTTACGTGGGCAGAGCACTACTGTCACGTGTAACTTGTCGTGTCATCACAAACACGTGCAAGCAAAGGAGATCACACAGAATGTTTCCCTGACAGCACAGCATAACGTTCGATATTCCGTGCGTGGTCGTGGTTTGTCCATCCTGCTCGACGCGCTTTGGTGTTTTGCGAGCGTGCGCTCCTGCCATAGGAGAAACGTGTGTTGGTTCCCCGTCCTGGCGCTGTTGCAGGGATGCGAAGTCCGCGGTCCGAAGACATGGTGTTGAAAAACAAGCGTATCCCCCACGACCCGCGCGCGCGCTCACCCACCCACACACACACACACACTGCCCGTCTTGTCGTGTGTATTGTACCCTTTTCCGTCTCGGATGTTGATTACACTCCTCAGCCACACCTTCGGCCAGTGCTATCGCTAACCGACAAGAAGAGGTACCCCATGGGGTCGGGCAAGGCGTTGTATCTCAGCCACTCCCAGGGAGATCACCTCGAGAAGCGGTGGGTGCCCGGCGACCCTCCAAAGACCGCCAGCGTAGACGTGGCCTCCAAGGCGGCGGCGGCGGCGGCGGTGGCGGCGGGTGGAGCGGTGGCCGTGGCCGTGGCGGCCGCCGCCGCAGGCGCGGCTCAAGCCGCCGCCGGGGCCGTGATCGCGAAGCAGGCGTCGGCAGCGGGGGAGGCCGCCGACCTCTACGCCACCGCGAGGGCGTTCTTGATGGAGAACCCTGAGTTCCAGCACATCTGGGTGAGCGCGGCGTGCATGCCTCCTCGTCTTCGCGAGCAGAAGTGGCGCGGAGCCGTGCCTTCCGCGGCTGGGTCTAACATGTTCGAGCACCTTCACCCGGGGGCTCTGGTGGCGTGCGATGCGGTACTCGTGGCCCCTCCCGAGAGGGAAAGCATGTCGTACATCGCAGAGCAGAGGGCGCGTTATTCGGACTTGGAAATGTACAGGTGAGAGGCGTTGGTACAGCAGCCAGCCGTTCGTGCTGATGGCACGCCGGTGGAGTCACGTCGAGCTATACCACGATTCGTGTCAAGGTCTGAGCCTGGTGGGTGTCTGAGCCAAAACCGAAGTTGTCTTACCATGTGCTCGTGTCTCTCTGGCGTTTGTCGGAATCCAAAGGGCAAGGCGCGCATGGTATCTACGTAAGACATATATGAACAGACAGATCCGCGGTTGATTTAGGAGCGATCCAATCATCTTAGATTTCTTGAACCAACACCGAAGGCGGTATCTCGAGACTTGAGTTTCTTGTTTCTTGTCATGTTCCCACCCCCACCCCCCTTGGTGGACTCAACTCTCGCATGCCACCCACCCAACCCTGACATTCTCCCTTACCCCGTGTGTTATTTTCCAGCACGAGCCCATGGAAAGCGTTGGAAGGGGTCATAATGCAGCTCATGAACAGCGTCAGCTTCTACGCCTTCCGCCTCGGCAAGAAGCTTATCTTCGCCGGACCCTACCCCGCCTACCCGGAAGAGCCCCAACCCTCCCCGCTCGACCTCAGGAGGGGCTCCGCCCCGGCCTCGATCGTCGGAGCCGACAGTCCCGTGGGCGGAAGGATGGCGACCGAGTCGCCTGTGGACAGAGCCAAGGCGGCGGCCAAGCTCATGTTCTCGAAGGGGACGCGGATGGGGTGGAACAGCAAGTCGGACATGAGTGCGGGGGACTCGCTGGAGGATGGCAGGTGGAATGGCTGGGACGGGGGGGGGGGGCGCAGTACGGCGGGATCGACACCAACAGCGTCGGTGACGACGGCATCGGTATCGGACTTCTCTGGGGGTAGGAGCTTTTACGGCGGCGGGGGCGACGTGAGCAGACGGCGGAGAAGCACGCCGACGGAGGGGTCGAGAATAGAGAGGGCCGTTGCGGAGGCGCTGGACAGGTTCGTCATCCCTACTTGTACAGTACTGTGACTTTTTTTCCCGCCCTACTTGTACAGCAGTAGCGAGAAACCTCTCTCTGGCGTAACAGTGTTCGATCATAGCAGAAGTCTTGTCTCCACACACTCTGTAGTCGCTCAGGCGCTGGACCACTGCGTGCTCTTTTTTGCCACAATGATTTTGACGCTACAGGTACGACCAAGTACAGCAGTAGCCTACACCTCTCTCTAGCATTCGTTAGCTAGCAAGCTAAGGGTCGCGGGGGGCAACACTCCTTGGTCGTATGGCAGTTGATTTTTGTCTATTTGTGGTAGTGGAGGGCCCCCACGTAATGTGACGCCTGGTGTTGCGCTGAATGGTCCAAAAGTTGGATACCACCCAATGCGGATACCGTGCGCGATTTTCCCTACCCGTGTCAGTGCTAGTGCGTATGTACGACATCTCTGTTGTACGATGAACAAATCACAAGCTGTTGCCATACCAACGAGCACTTAGTCCAACACATTTTTGTATTTCTGCATTCTTCCGGATCTGTGCGGTGATGGTTTTCGCCGTATACGTTTTGGAGCAGGCGATACAGGGCGGCTTCCAATTACTTTCGACACACACATCGACGTGACGGGAGGCACACCACCAGACACACGCCTCCGCACTGCATGTCATGTCAAACCCTTGTACGAAGCACTTCCCGTTGGTTCGAATAGTATGTCGTGATGGTTGATTTTCTGTCAGGTTGGGAATCAACATGCACGTCTAACGCCGACGTATACGATACCACTCCTTCATTCGATACTAATATTTGTTGTTGTTATTGTTGTCAGATTGGGGATCAACGGAACCCATTCTCCGCCTGAGCGCAACTGGCGGGGGGTGCTGCAGCCATGCTTCGTCCTGAGGAAGACAAGACAGGACGTGGAGAAGTACAGCGACGCACAGGGAGCGCTAAAGCAGGCCATGTGCTCGCTCAGCGTCTCCATAGACCAGGTGCGTGCGTGTTGTTGCCTGTCCCCCCACCTCCGAGGTGTGCAATGCAGTCAAGTCTATTCGGTAAAAGGGGTCGTACAAGATACGAGAGGAAGTATGTTGTACAAGAGAGACATGGCCCGGTTTTGGGCACGCGACGCAACCGTATTCTACTTTCCCAACCAGAGTATGGTCTCGGTTCCGGTCTCGGTATCTGGCAAACTCCCTTCAAGACAAGACTTGGTGCTTGTCCTTGGTTGGCAGTTGGCATGAACCGCTCCAAGCGACGGACGGACAAATGAAATGGCCGTAGTCTCGTAGCTATTTAGGAACGCGCGAAAACGCTTTGTAGTCACCGTACTGTATTACGGCTGTAGAACGGCTCCCGCGTCAGGGGAGACGCAAGACGCGGAGGAGGTGTGTGCTGAACGTCAGCGTGTTCAGTTCTCGTAAAACCCTGAACGCGTCGCCGTTGCCTCAGTATTTCTGTTTATGCTTTCGCTTTCCGTGCATGATTTTGCCTCTCGTTTTTCTTTCTTTTTTTTTTTAAATTAGGCGGAGGAGTTCTTCTTGGTGTGGAAGTACCTCGCCTCTTTAGGCCCCTGCGCCTCCAACGACCGGCTGGCGGTGCTGAACCTTCTCGTCTTCGCTGTATCGGTGGCCGACGGCTACTGCTGCCCACGACGGCCGTCCGATTTCGTGGGCCGTGTGCTGGCGGAGAGCCTCGTAACGCCGGGGCACCTGGACCTGTGGATGAAGGACCTGTCTCCGGACGATAGCCGGGTAAGGAAGGATGAGAAACGGCCCTTGAAGTGTAGCGTCCGCATGCTACGTAGGTGCCCTCGCGATCAGACTGTGATTGTGTACCCTTCCGGATGCTATGAATAGGTGCCATGGCAACACCCGTACGTTACTGGTGTGGACGGGTCTCGTGTTGGACGAGGTGCCCGTCCGGTGCTCATGTATCTACGTATCTGTACGCCGTCTTCGAAGGCTGCTTGCGACCTTGACGTCAACGTGTTGGCGGCTTGTAGCGCCGGATATGTTGGCGTGCGTAAAACGTCATGTAGTGCGCCTGTTGCCTCTGTTTGCAGGTGTCGGTCGCGTGTATATCCGAACACAACTCACAACGGTACGGCGCCACTGTTGCCGGCGTGGTCCTTATCTATCCCTCCCTGCTGCTGGCCGTCCATGTCGCTTACGCGATTGTTCCCGCTGTGATTGTGTTGTTGTCTTTGGTGTGGCTCCTGAAGAACATCCTTCGAGCAGTCAGCGCCGCCGGCAAGAAGCTCTCGATCCTGACTGTGGGCAGCTCGCACACCGCGGGCGCGGGGGTGGGCTCTTTCCTAAGGGGACATCCCTCTTTGAGAGTGAGTTATTGCTACTTGTTCACAAGTATAGGAAGCCGGCAGCATCATCGGTCGCCTCCATGCAAGCAACGATGGGTTGTTGCTTGTGTATAACCTTGCGACTACAGGTTGGCCGGTTAGAAATGCTGAACTTAACTCCGCTTTGGAAGCAAAACCTATGATGCCAAGGAAGAGCGGAACGGGATGCTGCAAGGCACCCTCGCTTTACTGCGTTCAAGGCCCCTCCGCGTTAGTTGTGTGTGCCTTGTGGCTTGGGGATACAAAGGCTGATGCTCTCTCGGCTACAGACAGCGCGATGGGGTTATGCGATTGCCTGTACTGCTCAGGCTTGTTGAGCACCCACTCCAGCAGTAGGTGGAGGTACACTCTTGACGGCCTCTTTCTTGTATTGTTTTGGGGATTGTCTATTGTAGACACCGACCAAACGTATCTCAATCAGGCCAGTGGGTCTTGACTTCGAGATGCTGTATTGTAAGCCAGGGTTCGATAGATTAATTGTTCTACCCCTTCGAAGGCAATTACAGGCAAAGCAAACGCGTTCTCTATGTGCGGACGGTCTCGTGTCCACGCCCACCTGCTCTGTCTGCCCCCCCCCCCTTCTGTTGACTGTTGGACGGACGACTTGGTGGCGGTATGGTGCGTAAATAACGAGGCGTTTTTTGGGTATCTGGCAAACAAACGTTGGCCAAACATACCCCCCCCCCCTCTCCTCCGTCGCCGTAACCCCCCTTGCTCTTTTTCTCTCCTCTGTACGGCCACGAAAATTGATGGTTGCGTGTTGGATGATGACAGGAGCTGGAGCTAGAATGGGAAGGGGTTCGAGACTTGTCGTCGATAGCCCAGGCCCTCGGGGAGCACAAGTCGCTGACGAGGCTCAACCTGACCCACAATGAGGTGAGAGAGAGAGAGAGGAGAGGAGACAGGAAGGCCGTCTGGTTCGCTTTGGTTTGGCAAGACACCGCTGTACATGGTACACAGGGCAGAAAGCAATTTCCGCTGACGAGAATGACTGCGTAATTTATGCATACAGTATTCTGGTGGTGTTGTGCGTTTTATGCTTACGACGGAAATTCGCCGCTCTTCCGTCCCCCGGTTTGGATGGATGCCGTCAACCTTTCCGGGTACGGGTATTGTATCCAACGGATAAACAATATTTTATTCGTTCTAGTGTGCATCTTGTAGAACGACCATGAGGAAGAGCAGAGCGAGACTGAGGTATGCATTGTCGCGAGGTGGTGCCGATCCGATCTCGCCCTCATCCTCGAAGCTTGCCACCAACGTGTAAACTTGTTGTTGTTTCAGATCGGACCTCGCGGCGCCCTCCAGCTGGCGGCAGCGCTTCGAAATAACAAGTCCCTGACGGAGCTCGACCTACGCGAGAACAGCCTCGGACCTTCGGGGATGAAGGCCATCGCCGATGCCCTTGCTTCGAACGAGACCATGCGCACGCTACACTTGCAGGTGTGGCATGTGTGTGTGTTTTTATTATTAGCATCGACCGCGCTAGCCGCCTGACCAATGAAAAGACGTCAGTCTCAGTGCAGTTGAAAACACAAAACACTTGTAGTGCCATTTACTGGGACCCCGTGAGGGGGCGGCGGCGGCATTGGTGTATGTGTGTGTGTGGATCAGTTGAGGGATGTCGGTGGCGGCGGTGCGGTATCGTACCGTCTTTGGTGGTGGTGGTAGTTTTGATTTTGTATTTTTGCTCTACTCTTGCTGCAGGCGTAGGAGGGATGTCACGGGACGCACGTGTGAAGCATTGCTGGGCCAGAGATATGTTCGTGCAGGGAGGGACGAGAAAGAGAAGATGCACTGCAGCAGATAGTAAATAGAGAAGTACAATAACTCCTCCACGTGTGAGCTGGAAGCGACGCTTGCACGTGTGAGCACGGCAGTGTGTGGCCCTGTGGGTTCCAACACAAGTTTCACGTATATATATATATATATAACAATTGTTTTGCTGGCCTTGGTTGCCATGTTTGAGGTGGCGCAAAAGATTCCGCACGCCTTTGGACCTATTTCTCAAAGCTCCATTGCTATGCAGCAAACGCTGGCGGGCGGCGTTGAAACCGTGTTGTCTTGTTGAGAGCTTGTTGAGAGCTTTTGCATTATTTTATCGTTTTGACTTGTTTGATGTTGTCCTCGTCGTGGGAGCATTCGAGCGAAAGAAATTGGTCCACGGGGTGTGATATCTCACGCAACCTGCGGTATTCTGTGTAGTAGTCTGCATCTTGAGGTATCAGAGGGTTTCGAGACATGGACGTACACCGTGGACCACTTTTGGCGGTATTGGATTGTGTACCTGTGTTTTCAGTGCCGCTCTCTCTCTCCCCCTTTTTACCGTTCTGCTTGGCACCAAGAGGTAATCACATCTCATGGTGTTTTCCATGGTCATAGTGCTGTTTTAGTCTATGTCGTGCTACAGCAGCAGCCTACATGGGTATATCCAACCCTCTTGAGCCGTACCAGGTACTGACTTTCTACACCAGGCGTTGCCATCCCATCATTTATTTCCCTCAGACGATGTAACAATTCGTGCGCGTACTGTGCTGTGCTTGGCCGCACCGCACCGCACCGCACCGCACGGTAACAGGACAACGCGATCGGAGATGACGGGGTTATCGCCATGACGGAGGCGTTGATGCGGAACGGGAGGTTGAGAACCGTTTGCCTAGATGGAAACAAGGTGGGTGGCTCTATGGCTTAATGGGTTTTATGTTTTGTTTTTTCGTCATGTCCACAGCACGCGTTTTTTGTTTCGTGTGTTGGTTTTTGAGTGCAAGACGAGTGGGGAGATGTACACCCCGGTGGGGTCATGCGATCGATGCGGCTGATGCTATGCGGATGAACGGTGTACCCTTTGGGGTTTACCCTTTGGGGTTTACCCTTTGGGGGCAGTTAGGTGGCTTGCGACCGCGGAAGGCGTGTCGGCGTCAGTTGAACCGTTGGCTAGAAGGGTTACAGGCGCTGGGCAGAGACCGGACGTATTTTTCCATTCGAAGACAGCAGCACCACCAGCACCACCAAAGTTGGTTTCTATGCTCTGATGTCCATTCCCTGTCGGGGGGCAGGTGAGCGACGAAGGAGCAAAAGTGATTTGCATCGCCATCAAGATGAACCTGGCTCTGAAGATGCTCAGCCTCTCGAGAAACGCTCTGCCAGACGAATCGAAGCGCGCTCTGCAGGACGCGTGGTCGGAAAGAGAGCTAGAGGACGGGGAGTCACGAAGCGGCATGTGAGTACCGCTCCGGGATTCATGGACACGCTCAGCGTTGTAGGACACAGAGGGTCTGTGAGGTTGTGAGTAAGTTACGCAGCTAGCGTAACCGATCGAGCTGAACTGACGGCGTCGTGTGAGTTGTGCTTGGAAATGTTTGAGGATAAGATAGGACAGGATAGCGTGATGCCCAACCCAACGTACGGGAGACGGCGGCAAGCGAGCTGCTGGACGGTATTGTAGGGCCCTTCCTCTCTGTAGCGTGTGTTGCTGCCTTGGTACTTTTCTGCTAGTTGCTGCTCCTTGTTGCCAGCGTCGCGGTTTCGTGTTTCCCCCATGGCGGCCTGCTTCGAGAGCTACTGTTGTACCAATTTGTTGTGTTCGGGCCAAGGCCGATGAATGGATGTAGATGTGTTTGTAGCGTGTCTTTTCGTTGGAAGGAAGCGACACTGGCACTGCATGGTGCATGCACCTAGTGTGGTCGCACGCCACAGCGGTACATATGTGTAGAAAAAGGAGCCGATAGTCCCGTCCACAGTCCCGCCGTGGTCCCTCACGCACTCACTCACGACCCCCCAACCCCCACTCCGCCCGTCCCGCCCTGGTGTTGTCCACACGAAACAAACAACGACGGGCACAACCTTGAACGTTTCAGGTTCCTGGACCAAGCGGCGGAGGGCACGGCATCTGGGCGGGGATGGAACAGCACCCTGCCCCTTGCCGAAGGCGTGTTTGTCAGCACCAGGCCGGGGCTGGGCCCAGTGGGGATCGGCGGGGGGATACTAGTGTCGCCGACTCGCGACCAGCGTGGCAGCGAGACCTCTATGATGAAGCCACCAACAGGCTCGTCGGACGATGGCAACGGGTCGAGGACGGGCGGAGACGATGGGGGCTTGCTCCCTAGGTTCTCGCCGGTGGGCGAGCAGTTCGCGAGGAAGCCCCTGTGGTGACGTGTGACTTGTGAACAAACCACGAGCAGGGGTTTTATGTCGGTCGGTCGGTCGGTCGGTCGTTCGGTCGGTCGGTCGGTCGTTCGGTCGGTCGGTCGGTCGTTGCTCGCTTCTCTTTGTGTTCTGTCTCCGAAAGTTTCCTGCATGTCTTTCTTTCTTTCTTGTCTTGGGGCGAGGGCGGATGTGGATGTTTTTGTCCAAAGAAAAGCAGCGTCGGCGCCCTCCCGCTGGTCGCGCGGCACGGGCATGCGCAGTTTTGCGAGGCGAGTTTTTTTCGACGAGGAGAGTTCGGGTTAGTTTGTTGTTTTCGTCGCTTCTCTTCTCTTCGTCGGCTGCCCAGGCCCCGAAGTTGAGATATTTTTGTCGCCATTACTCAACGCTAACTTGCTCTCGTAGAGTCGGGGCGTCGGTTGAGCAGCGAGCAAGCCTGCCTCTCGCCACCTGGCTACGTTAAATGCGTTAGATGCGTGTTGGTGTTGGTTTCCTGGTTTGATGGATGATGCATGAAGGTATCTCGAGCAAGTACAGGTGTTTTTGGTGTTGATCTGGTTACCGTTGTTGCTATTGTTGCTATTGTTGCTATTATTGCCATGGTATACTATCGTGTTGTTTTCTGTGGAGTAAGATAAGATAAGTCAAGGTAAGGTAAGATAGGATAAGAGTATGTGGGCCTTGGTAGCACCACTCCTTGTCCGAATGCACCCCCTGAAAGCAAAGGTCTAGGCAGAGTTGGGGAGAGCGAGGGTCACTGCTGTGGTTGCTTTGCTAGCGGCCGCCGCGGTTGGTTCGTTAGTTGTCGGGGCTTTTTTTGGTTTTTTGTTGTATGGTTGTGACGACGTAGACTGCAACGCTGCCATATCGAATCATGATCATGGCAAGTCAGTCGTGCACAACGCTGTCACCAGGGTTCCTCTCGGCACCACGTGGCATCTGGAGGAAAGCCTGTATCTTAAGAAATTAATCGGCGAGAGTTGTTTCAGCGGGGGTTGCCGTCACTCTTTGGTTTTGTCTGTCTCTGTCTCGGTCTCTGTCTCCGTCTCCGTCTCCGTCTCCGTTTCCTTGGGTTTGTTGGGTTACCGTCACCGTTACCGTTTTGGTTACCTCTACCGTTACCGTTACTCCACACCCTGTTGTGGTGCGGGACAAGAAATGGACAGACCTTGTCGGCCTTTTGTTGGGCGGCGGAAGGATGAGATGATGATATGTAGTGTCACATGGAAAAGGGGGCGTTGGATTGTTCCTTTTGTACAGTACGTTCTGTTGTAAGTGTTTTATTTACGCTTGACAGCGGCACGTGCCCCGCTACGTCGCGATGGTGGTGGTGGTGGGTGGTGGTGGTGGTGGCGGCTAGCCCATGTGTCGGCACCGTGGGCCCGGAAGCATCTGCCGCTAACGACCGCGTCCGCTCCTGGTAGTCGGGGGGCCCGGGGTAGATGGGTAGGTAGGTGGGTAGGTGGTAGGTAGGTGGTAGGTAGATCAGCAAGGCAGGCGGCGAGGATGAGAGCGGTAGTGAATGCCTTCTTCACGCGGTGGGTTACAGTAGGCTTTGGGAGCGAGCTTTGGGATTTGAAGTGAGTTTTACATGAGAATGAGTACAGTACCCTGCTTGCCTGACGTTGGGTTATTTGGGTCTGCGTGTCAGTATGTCTGTTTTTTGGGGGTTCGAGCCTTTTAGATGCATTAGTATCGCAATTTGCAATCGCAAGGCAAGGTAGGGATCTGGTTCCATGTTAATTGTGCTTGGGTGGGGTGGGTCCAGGCTACTCGATGTGTTACGCGATGTTTTTGGTAGCTCCATAGTCCACCTCTGCGTTGTCTCTTGTGTGTCGTTGGGTGTGGCCGAATACGATACGGTATACGGTATACGGTATGTATGATATGTTTGAGATTTTTCATGGATTTCGCTGCTTGGCGTTCCCTTCTGGTACGGTACGGTACGGTCCTCCCGGTAGGCAAGACATGTATTGCTTGCCGGGCCGTCATTCGAGGTCGCGTGGTGTGGTGCTTGAAAGTCGAAACAGGGGCCGTACATTCCGTAGATTCATTCATGCGTGTCTCCTTGGTAGTACGTAGGAGACGTACGCGTGCTTCATATTTTGTAGTAGTGTGCAAGGAGCAACCCGTGCAGCATGTGGTTGCGGCATAGGTCTACATGCGATGCGTGGGAGGGCATTGACGGGGGAGGTTTGCAGCTGTGGGCAAGTGCTTGTGGTCGGCGTTGAGCGAGTGTTTTCCCTGGCGTCTATTCTAACCTATTTCAACACATGCACGGGAACACTGTTTGTGGCTGTCGTAACGTAATAAGCGGACTTTCTTTTGTCCCCTTCGATTTCTCTTGGCCTCAGATGGTCCAACTCCTCCGCATCTTGTGCACCAGCCGCACGCTTTTACTTGGTCTTGAGTCCTGTCTTTTTTCTCGGTGTTTTCCTTTTTAATGAAGTACCCCATAGATTTTGGGATTCTGTTGTGGGCAGGTTTGGTTCTCTTTGGTGCCGGTGGAGACGCAGATGGCTGTACCTTGTAGCAGGGCCGGGTCCGCGTACGATGTAATTCTTTGTTTGCCGATTTGGATCGGTGACGCGTTGTGTCCTGCTGCACGCCGCGAAGCATGCGGCGGCTGTTTGGCTCTGTTGTCTGCCCCACTAGCTGCCCATCGGCGCATATACCTTACACTAGTTATGGTAGCAGTTCTCTTGAAGCTAGAGGTAGTGCTTTCGGGAGCAAAGGACAGGATAACCAAGATACCATCCATCTGGCGGTCGGTGAGTTACCGCCCTCGTTTCGTCATCGTTACCTTGACCTTGGGAGGCAGCATGGTGCCGACACGTGCGTGTTGTGTTCTTTTTTGTTACTGAATGGCATCGACCGCGCTAACCGGCTAACCAATGAAAAGACTTGCGTCGCGTGTATGTGTGTTTGTATTGAACGGCATCTACCGCGCTTCAATACTTTACTACCACTACGAACAGCATACCGCATACAACTGGGCCCGAAAAATGGGCGTGGCGCCGCAAGCCTTGTGACAACGCGGGGAGAAATACAGACTACTACTTGTATAGTAAACTGAAATACACGACCCACACAGTAATACACAGCGCGCAACCGGAAGAGTGCCAGACACCAAACCAACTCGACAGACTAGTACTTGGCCAAGGAGTCTGCAGCGGAGTAGCTGGCTGCCGCTTCGGCGGAGTTGACCTGAGTGTGAAACGACACGCTGTGGTGGCACCCAAGGCAGATGCTCTCTCTAGTTGGGGTCGGCCGAAAGCCCGGGCAGTCCTCGCAAATAGAGCACAGCTTCGTCGGGACCTGACACCGAAAGCGGGAACCACGCGCAACAACCGATCAGCCTGAACGCACGCCCAAACAAAAAAAGTGGCGAGATGTTGGCAGGGTTGTTGACGGGTTATTACCGTCTGGGTTTTGTTTCGTTGTTGGTCTTCTGTCTCTCGCTTTTTCGCTTCAAGAGCACAAGGCGACGAACTGGGACAGGTGGCCAGGATATTCTGTGAAGACAACAATAACCACCACGACAACAACAATCTAACCGTCACCATCCAATGCATCCAATGTAAATGTCACCAGTACAGCAGTAGTTCGGAGGGAGGCGGGACAAGGCACAATGCAACCCATACAGCAGTACGTCCCTTGGGCCTAAGAGAAAAGCCGGCGAGTGGCTGGCGTGGTTCGATTGTACAATCATAGGCGCGCAGCTTGACATGTTGTGTAAGCGATCCACGACAGGGCCTTCCATAGTCGCCGTACAGTATTTAGACTAGTGCAAACAAGGAGCAGCCTGCTTGGGGAGAGTCTGGTGCTTGTTGGAGACAGGTGGGTTCAGTCGATTGAAAAAGCGCCGGCCCCTTTCGTGGACACGGATAGGGAGCACGAAAATCATCGGTCGACGATCCCATGACTAAGAACACAAATTGCTTAATAAGCCAGTCGGTCAGTCGGTGACAAGCAGAGCCACGGTGACGGGTACTGCGGGAGTTTTTTTTTGTCCTAGAGCTCATGATCGTCACGAACCGCTCATGCCGGTTAGCAATGATCAAGCTTATCATTCTGCGCAGGGCAAAATGCACACCCAGCGGCCGATGTTTGCAAGGAAAGACGCTGCCAACATCGTAGTCCACATAGTAATGCAACACATGTTTTTTGAGCAGTTCTTACCTTCCCCGAGAGCCCCAGGGCCATTTCTGCCACTCTCGCCAGCTCCTTTTTTCTCTCCTTTCCTGTTTTCTTCGGTGTGCAGATATAAATGATGTAGGTTCACGCGAGAAATACAGCCCGCGGCAACAAGAAGACTGGTTGGTGAGTCGTCCAGAGAACTGAAATAACTTAACGTGCTCTGTAGTACTTCAGGTACTAGTATTTACTGCACTGTAGGTGGTGTTGCAGGGCGTGACATTCGAAACGGGATTTGGTACAAGAAAGAAAGGTGCGGCACGACAAGCAACCTCAACGGGCTTGAGGCACACGAGAAAACGCACGTCCCACAACAACCAACGAGCCTGCACTCATCGCTCGTACCATGCGCGTGATAGCCAATCGTTGTTTGTTTCTCACGTATGTATGTGGGTGCTGACGGGATAGCCTGTCTGTGTATGAGTCGTTCGTAGGCGTCGGCTATGCGTAAGGCGTCCAGTTCGATGTCATCAAGGGAACACCGCTTGAGGCGGACCGATACATCCGTTGTTAGAAAGGCTTACCCATTAGACTACTCAGTCAGCGCTGACTGAGTAGTCTAATGGGTAAGAGCCTTTCTAACATCCGTCACGCGAGTACGCATGGACAAGCTGCTCTGGTCGACGTCTTCCCAAGACCACCCTTCCTCGCCGGCATTGTTAACATATTGTTAACTGCTAACGGCAGCCCCCCTCGAGCTTCAAAAATCGATCGATCGCACGACTGCACTATCTGGTACATACACTACACTAGTTGTTCATGCTGGCGGTCTTATGCAGGGCGATATTTTGTCAGGTGGGTGCAGTAATTGCTGTACTAGGGAGTATTGAGCGTCACCCCCCCCCTTTTCTGATGCATACGCCGCAACAAGACAATTTGGGACGGTGAGGCCAGCGGCAGGCAATATTCTTCGTCGCACCTCTTGGTGTCGGATCTGCTCCTCTTCCAGCAGCCTAATCTCCTCCTCTTCTATCGCCGATGCTTGCATCACTTGCTTCGCCACCTTGAAGGAAAGGAAAGAGCAAGAGTAGATGACACCAACAACGCGAATAAGCCTATTAGCTTAGCTTAGGGCTTAGTGCTAGGGTTGGGGTTGTTTGGATGTCTTGCTGGGGCGCACATGCTTCGTGTCTGCCTACAGACCGGTGAAATGATGTGACGATAGTTACACTCCTCTCGCATGTACGTATAGGGTGACACCGGCTCCCTCACGCTCACGACGGTCGCCTCGACACCCCAAAATAACATTCTTAGCGGATTCCCTCTAACTACAACTGTAGTTCTGAAAATGAAGGAAAAATAGGGTTGACATGTTCCCGCTGTGCGGCATGTCCTCAGACTTCAAGAGGTTAGACCCCTCCCCCCCCCTGAAGAGGCTGGGTAGACTCGAAGTGAGGTCAAGTTATATATTCCCTAAGGAGAGTCACGACAAGGAATGTTGGTATAATATTGTTGGAGGTCCACTCCGGACACGAGGCAAGCTAAGCTTCGCTGACAAGAAATAGTAGCTGACCGTCGGCGGCGGTCATGTATCAAGCTTGCTTCTCACCTCCAAAACGGGCCCCTCGTACGGGTAAGTCGCCACCAGCGTGAACTCTTTCCCGCATGCCACCGCCCTAGGCAGGCCTCTGCCCACGCCGTCCACCAACACTCCGAACCCCCCGACATGCCCCGGGTCGGCAGAATATTGCTCGCCGTCTTCCTTTCCGAGAAGAACGAACCGAGGAACGAACCGAGCACGCGATGGCTCGTTGTTGAGATCTTAGAGATCTTAGAGATCTTAGAGATCTTAGAGATCTCCAAGGGCGGCATAAGGGGTAGCCGGGAGGGAAAACGGGGCACATACACGTATGTTGCAGAGCCACGCGAGTGCCTACTGTAATGCGCCCCCCCTTTACTGCTGCAGGTGTAGTCTAGAAGTAGGTGTTAGGGTGCAACATGTCTCGGTCGATTTCGGCGGACGTCGCAAGAGGTGCTGCACGCTCACGACTGAACACCATGCACGTTGCGAAAAATGGTTTGCACTCCTCTTTGCCAAGCGCCAAGCTACCACATCCCTAATTCATTCGATTCGTTCCATGGCCAAACACAACAACAACACGCCACGCCTTCTTCGCCGCCCCTTAGCAGGATGCAGCGCCCCCTTCATGCGACTCGCCGAATTCCTCACGGCGCTTCGCGCTTGGTGATGTGAGAGCCTGGTCAAGTGGGAACCCGGCGTGCTCGTCCCGGCTTTGTAGGGATGCGAGGTCAATGGTCTAACGACTACGGCATGCACGACTATGAGTACACCCCCCTCCCCTCTTCTGCTCTGGACAACACCACCGCCCGACCGGACATCACCTGGCCGCCTTACCACGCGGTGTAACACGTGATAGATCTCGACATCCTATGCATACATACCACTGGAAGGACAACCGATACCTGGGAGAGCTCTCCCTAGGCAGCCGGTCCGGTTGGATCCCCACGTGTACAGCTCGCCGTCGGTGGTGACAGCGGCGCAGTGGTGCGACCCGCACCAGACCTTCCTCAGCAGCTGCTGAGTGGCGAGGAGCTTGGCCACGATCGCCGGCGTCGGCTGCACCTGCCGCGTGCCCAGCGCCAGCTGACCGTGGTACCCAGACCCCCACGTGTAGAGCTGTCTCCGAACCCACCCATGCGCGGACACGTGACAGCAGTTGAGGGGTTTTAGTGCCGGGGGTTCTGGAGATCCGGGAAAATGTATCCTTGTATCCATAGAGCGATATGTACCTGCATGAGAACGACAACCTAACGAGCGAGAAAGAGACCAGATTTCCTTGAAAAAAAGGCATCCGCACTTTTCACCCACAAGACGTGCGGCAGGCCGTGTTAACGACCCCCACACCGAACCCACACGGTCCCTCATCACCATCACTGGGAGGACTACGCAGGGGTAAATCGGGCTAGACATGGATATGATACGCGTGTTATGTTGGCACGCCAGAGTCACATATTGGACTGATTCTCACATATCCCCCGTCCTTGCAGGGAGGGACCAACACCAGTGCCGCACAATGCCACGTCCCACATTCTGCCTTCAGGACAACACACAGACACAGCAGACGCCGCAATGCAAAAGGCACATGCAAGGGAAGAGAAAGGGGCTCTGGGAGGGCCAGCCTAAACGGCCCACGGTCGCGAAGGAAGGAGCGTGTCGACATGGCATCACATATTCTGATGTTCTTGTGTTTTCATCTCTCGGGTCGGGTCGCACGCACGGACGGGGCGCGACGGCAACGTGCCACACAAAGGCAGATTCCGATCCCTGTATTCTGATACGGGCAGCACGCAGGACGTAGTTACGATAGCCCTAATCCACTCGTGTGACAATTTGTCCCTTGCCCAACCCGCAACACACCTGCCCCCCACAGTACCCCCGCAGGCGAAAAGGGAATAAGGAAAAAAAAGGATGTCCTTCTGAAACCTAGGGCAGAGAGAAGACGCTTTCCCGATCGTAGATGATGTTTGTTGTTGAAACAGGAACGGTGCGTCCAGAGAGGGATGGTGTATGGTGCTCGTTCAACGCGATAAAATCACCCAGCAAGGCGAACCGACAGAGTTCCCCCTTCCACCCCGCCCGCCAATGCCCCGACCACTCCAAGAGTGGAGTGGCACCTGCCACGCGGCCATCAATGGTGACCCAAGACTACCAGAGGAACCCAAACTTGGACGCTGCTCTTTAACGATTGAAACCGCAGTGCCTCGTCAAGGCGGCGGAGCGTCCTGAGTGGTCTGAACGCTGCGATACTGAGCAATGTTCACCACCTGAAGCACCACGCTCCCCTTGAAGGCTTCGATCTGCACAGGAGTCTCTCTCGTGAGGGTATCTCCGTGCCCCAACACGCAGCCCTCGCCTGCCCCCCAAGACCAAACGTTCGCTGCCGTGACCGCTAAACAAAAGCTCGGCCCGCACGACACCTGTGGGCGAGCCGCATGTTGTGGCGGCGTCATGGGAAGGACCCTCGGCCTTGGAGGGGGGGGTATTTCTCGAGTTTGTTGTTTTCGGGGTGCATTGCTTCTGACAGAGCTACACATGCGCTTGGTTGTAGGGTGATTAGCTGCCGACAGATGTGCTCCGTGCTGGTCCGAAGGCCCTGCGATGGGCACCGCCTGCGGGTATCTGCACATGTTAGGCCCGGGGTGAGCTGTGAGACATGGCCCGTCCGGATGTGTCTGGGCCTACGGTTAGCCATACCATACCCGTGAGATGATCTTCACATGTTTGGCCGGGTCGAGCAGAGGAAGGTAGACGGAAAGGAATAACTCGTGACCTGTCTGTCTTTGGGGGGAAGGTTCCCCCCCCCCCCATGACAAAGACCAAAAGAAATTATTGTTCATGCCGTCTCAGAGAACGGCCGGGGCCCTCGGGTCACCCACCTCGAAAGTGGCATCCACGACAACCACCCATGTACTGTAGATTTACTGTACCTCACCAAGGATGCATAACGAAAAATACAACCTCCGACCCCGTGCCCCCCCCCCCCGTGATGACTATCTATTGCCCAACACCTACGTTTGGGGTAACTTGCCTGTCGAACGACCTCTTTGGAGAAGGTGTGGAGGAGCATAGGGGTGGGAAAAATGTTCTTCTCAGATTGCGGCACCCCCACTCTCCAACAAGCACCAACCCCCAACCTCCCTCGATCTCCGTGGCCCCATGAATAGACGCCCCCGGCCTTTGTCAAGACCAAAGAGTGGTTCTCTCCGACCGCAACCTGTGGCGCGTGGGTCGTGACATGCTTCCAACGCTAAATCATTGGTCGAAGGGGCTCCAAGGGTCGAGGGGGATATACAATGCCGGGTTTAAGGATAGGTTCGGAGTGGAAAAAGGAGTACTTCGAAGCAGTTATTCTGGCAGCGGCAGCAGGAGCTAGGGAGGCCGTACGATCCACGGTTCGCCTCCCCAAGGGATTGATGGAAAATAGTCGAAATATCTCTGGAGGCACACGAACAACTTATGGTTAGGTTCGGTTAAAGTTTGAGGGTTAGGTCTAACAAACAAGCAAAGTTGGTGGGCCACAGCAACGACTCTCAAGAACGTCTGAATGCCTTGGTCGGCGGAGAAAGCTCGACCTCGGTGCAAGGCTTGGAACACAAGCAGGTTTGTTCAGCACGACGGTTGCCTGAGTGCGCTACTTGGAACACGTGCCGTATGGTGTTCGCCACGTCTGCATAAGGAACGTATGCTTCGCCTTTATCTGTTCCAACTTCCCTCCACACCTGGCCAAAGTATTGGCAACTCTCACCTGCGACACCTCTGTTCCTTCTGGAAAACCTGCATTGAGAACCGGGATCTGCTTTGACTCACGGTCCCCGAGCCCCAGCTGCCCGGATTCTCCCCTCCCCCAAACGTACAGATCACCCCCCATCGACCCCGCAAGACAGTGACTAGAGCCAGCCTGTACCTGAGATTGACATCGAGGTGTGAACGAGGGGATAAGGTGGGGGGAGCACACGGCTCGGAAATACGTCCACCCCGCCACGGTATATATTGCGGGATGCCCCGTTTGCTTTGCCATCTGAAAAACAAAACAGCACGCCGAAATGACTCATTTACCGCACGTACACAGCCGAGGCAGAAACACAACACGTGCTGTGGTCACCTGGCAGATTTCCTCGCCCACCAGATCGCGGATGGGTCGGGGCTCCATGTACAAATCCTCGTCGTCATCGTCGAAAGCTCCCGTGCCCAACCGGTGTCCTGTAGCCCCAATCCCCTTGGCACCCCACGACAAGACATCGTGATCTTCCGTTACCGCAAACGATATGTCGTACCCCTGTCACGGAGGAGGGGTATAAGCAAATAGCAAAAACGTCTCAAGGTCAAGCGGGGCGACTGCGGCTGGCCTACGACAATGTCTGCAAACAGTTGAACTCTCGGCTGTGTGAAATGGGAGCATCTGCTTCCCCGCAGCCTCTCCTCTTGTCCCTCTCCCAATCCCCTTGGCACCCCACGACAAGACATCGTGATCTTCCGTTACCGCAAACGATATGTCGTACCCCTGTCACGGAGGAGGGGTATAAGCAAATAGCAAAAACGTCTCAAGGTCAAGCGGGGCGACTGCGGCTGGCCTACGACAATGTCTGCAAACAGTTGAACTCTCGGCTGTGTGAAATGGGAGCATCTGCTTCCCCGCAGCCTCTCCTCTTGTCCCTCGGCTCTTGTGAACGAAAGGCTTGCAACTGCCACGAGCGGCCCTATCACATCACAGCACAAGAAAAGAGAACAAACTGTTTATCCCAAACGAGAACGGCTTGCCCAATCGACGGCGCTCCCCACACCACTCACAGCTGCCACGAAGGAAACACCCGCCCCTCTCGTCTCGCGCACCACCTCAAATCGGTCCCGGGGTGCCCAATCCCCCAAGCCAAGCTGCCCGCTGGAGTTTACCCCGGCAACGTACACAGCTGTTCTCCTCAGGGAAAAAGCAAGACCACCACAGGCGAAGACGCGGATGTTTGATGGTCCCGATATTAGACTGACCACATCGTTAAATTCGCCAGCCGGTTAGCACGGTCGGTGCTCACCATTGAGACCACAAACACAAAAAGTTACGCACACGGGCATCTTCCGATGGCCAGCCGTCAAATCGCGTTCGATGCTAGTGAAACACGGAGACACACAGACACGCACACACACAACACTGAGACTGAAATCTTTTCAGTGGTCAGCCGGTTAGCGCAGTCGATGCCAATCAATGAAACACACACAAACAAACACAGACACACACGCGAAAAGAAGCCGGATAGAGAGCAACCCCGCACAGGGCAACGGTGCTAGCATGGAAGAAATAGATGATGCAGCAGCAACGTTGCTCGGTACTCCGAGTCTTGTCCTTGTACTTCAGAAGAAAGAAATTGTCGGGCAACCACTGCGCCCCCCCCCTGTCTGTAGAACCCTAGGGCTAGATTGCAATATTGTGTCTGTTTTCCCGCAAAGTGACTGACGTCTTTTCATCGGTCAGCCGGTTAGCACGGTCGATGCCAATCAATGAAACACACCAACACACACACAACTCCCGACGTCCGTGACGGACAGGTGCACCCCCGGTGAAAAGATACGAGAGAAACTCTATTATACTCAATCTCAAGAGCAGTGTCAAGTGTTGTTATTTTCAAGACTGGTAAGCGACGTCGGAGCTACAATCGACGCAGACGGGAAGGAGTTCACGGCAGGCAGGGGGGCGGCTACGACCCAACACCATGTGCCCCCTCGGCAATACCAGTACGCTAGCTTGATGCCACAACATGCCATACCTCCTCGCTCTTCCAGGTCTGCTCCTAGTTGAAACTCCGCATCTTCTGCGTCCGCGTAGGCCTTGGTCTGCGATACAGTAGGACCACCACCACCGCCAACAACGTTGACAACGATAGAAACAAGTTTCGAAGCAAGCGCCAACTCGGTGCCGGGCACGAGGATCACACTCTCCGCGCGAGAACTATGGGTACAGTCGAGACCCTTCTACTTCGCGCTTCTGTTCCACAACAAAATCCTATTGGTTGCGTTTTGAGATGATGCTGATTGCCATACCAGGTGCGTATCCTCGAGCCTGCAGGTGACCGCAAAATATCGGAACACGCTCGGTAAATCGGCTTATCGTAACGACAGACGTGGGGGGGCGGCGTATTAATGGAGTGAGCTTGGAGGTCTTTCATACCTGTAGAAAATCTTCGAGTATGCGCTCGTGGTATCAGCACTTGCTACGCTGATTGTCTAGTCTACAGCGAAAGGTCACCAAATTGACAACACGTCCCTGGCGCAGTAGACTAGTGACGCTCCCTTTCTTGCGTCGGAACGTCGGCGGGTAGGTACACTCGGCGCATGTTGAACAAATACTGACGTGTGCCACATATCACCTGTTCCTCTACCACGGACGCTTCTAGCCGCAGGGCTAGTTGCCCTTTGTTCCCTGTGGTGGCTAGGTCTCGAGCCTCGAGATGGCTCCGCAGCTCTTGCCTTGTCAGAGTTTTCGTATCGACCCCTCTCAATTCCTAGGACGGTGCCAGTGGGACAAAGGGGGCAGTACACTATTATTGCGGGCTGGGATGACCCCTAAGTGTCAGGAATTGCATGCAATACCTTAAACGCAAGTTATATATTCAGTGCCGAGTCTGTGCATAGCACAGACCATGTAGACTACCTACATAGACTAAAGTACCGAAGTCAGCAATGTACCGCTGTATGAACGCACACATGTTCCCTGGCCCTTCTCTGTTGAGCCAAGATCCTGTATTCTCTGGTGGACTATGAATACCCTTCCGCCGCTGTAGTTGAGATGCCCCAACCAATGACCGTTGGTCGTTGCAGGGCACATGAGCTCCACAGTGCTGCGCTGCACTTGTACAGATGCGGCCCGGAGATAAGAAACGTCAAAATCGGGTCGAGCCTTCATTTCTTATTCTGGGCAGAAGGACCAGCCGAAGTCGGTCAATTTCTTAAACCGGACTTCTTATTCCTTTGGCCTGTCGCATCCGGCTGATTCTTTTATTTTCTTATTTCTGATGGCGAAGAAAACACACAACACACAGCACACCAAGCAACCATGCAGCAATAAACCGACAGCTTGTTGTGGCGAACATTGGGGGTTGTGGCAGTACAGAAGTTCAGCAACAGTGGGTAGCGCAGCCCGCGGCGGTGCTGGGGCGCGGGGGGCGCCGCGAAAATAACCACTCTCTGCCCCCGAAAAATACTGACATGAGTTGGGGGGGGGGAGCATGGCAGCAGCAGTAGTGGGACGTTTCTTAGGACACGCTCCCCCAGCTTCTACCCCTTGTTTCTTTTGTCATGGGGGTATCGCACGATCACGTTTCTTATTGGGGCTTTTCTTATGTTGTATGTTGTAGCCGAGATTGAGCTGTGTGTCTCAGGCCTTTTTTCTTATCTTTCGTAAGAATTTGAGCCTTTTTTCGTATCAGAATTTTTCTCAACTGCGGGCCCATCTGTACAATATCCGTGACACACAGGGCGCCCGGAACTGTATGATGCGTATCGCATGCACTCATCATGCAGTGGAACTTCGTCTTGCCAGAGTGTCGGGGGCGATGTTCATGCCCAAAACTTGTACTTCTGTTCAGTAGATAAATTGGGCTGTGTTCATCTCTGTGCGCTGAATAGCCCCAGTCGGCGTCGTACCTTGTACGTTCCCCATCCGTAGTCGTCATCCTTTAGGGCAGCTGGGTCCACTGTGCGGGTCTTGGCTCTAAGGGTGTTGACTAAGCCCAGCGCTGTCATGACTACCAAAAAACCCCGGCAGCAGCTAAAGTTCTACACCACTGCTGTCTCCCTGCTATCGTGCGGTGTGCGTTAGCGGATCGATCGGCAAAGTTCGCCGCCGACACCGACCTCAAACCATTCAACATCAACGCCGAAGGCCGAAGTGGGCAGTTCTATGAATGATATCAACCACAGCTCATCCCAACACGTCTTTCAAGCGCAAAGAACTCCACGGCGACAGCATGCGCACGGCAGAGCAGACAGCACGGCCAGGGTCTGTTCCCTGTCGCGTTTTTCTCGCCTTTTCCCTCACAAGGAAAAGCGGCGGTATTCGAGGCGGACGAAACGATGCTGAACGAGTCGGGAAAAAAGGTTCCGCTTTTCAATCACGCCGCGCTGCGAGCGAGCCTTCTTTCCCTCTCTCACCTCTCCCTCGCACATATTTCGTGAGTGAGTGTGCGTGAAATGCAAATGAAAGCTGTGGTACCACCCAGCTCCTACGGATATGTATGGTATTGGGTGCTTCAGAACGCTCTACCACTACTGCTGTCATCTGTCCTGCAGCTGAAGTCCAGCGCCTGCGTGTGCCGGTTCACCAAAGCTTTCCCCCCTGGCAGGAACCACGCCTCCCAGGGCGCCTCGAGCACCGCTATAGCCAACTTGGTAGCAGCCGCCCGGCCGCCCGCCGCAGGTGTACCCAGGTGCAAGGTGTGCACCGTTGCGTACGAGCGTACCAGACCAAGGTGGTGGCAATTTCTCCACTGCTGCACTGCCATAGATGGCGGTTTCTCGACGGCGATCAGGGTACAAATATGCCGAGGCGGCGACCGTCCGCAGGCATCCTGAGATACAGCACCCTCCTGATGGCTACTGCTTGATAGAGGCAGACCTGCATCGTGCAACAACATCCTTGGAGGTATGCACATGTGTGCACATGTATATCATGATGCCTACCACGATGATTTGCGGTAAAATCAGCGGTCAGAGGCTACGGCATGATCACACCATGCCATGCTTCATCCGGATGTCTATACGTGCTGTGTAGTTGTGTGGAGGGTTGGAGAGAGTGAGATATACCGCAGCATGAACGATCTATTACTGCTGTAGATTATGCCCCCTTGATCTAAACAACAGCCAGTGTCTTCGCGCAGCCCTTCAAAGCGGAGAGTGCAGGCATAGATTAGAGGTGTCTCGCTCTATTTATTTGCGTCGAACTTGACAACACTGCGCCCGCACATGCCGACCTGTACCCTCTTCAACAGCATCACGTCCGACTCTCTTGGACGCTTGTTCTATTGGACGAGGGAAGTGACCGTGCTGGTGTACGAAGAATGTACTCAAAGCGGCTATCGGGCACCGTGCACAGGCTACATGTAGAGTGACTTGGGAGCACAACACAAAACCTGCGGCGGCCCGTTTGTTGTGTGGTCCGTCATGTACCCGGTAGTTGTTGCTCCGGTCCAAAATCGTGTGCGCGATTTCGTGCAACATGTGGCCTGCTGCTGTGTACACAGCCTTATCGTGAAACGATAGTCTACATTCATACCGCTCGTACTTTCCTTCAAGGTGGCGAGCTTTCCCTTCTTGGCCCAGCTCAAGCTCCGCTCGGCGATAAACCTCTCGGCCGAACCCCTGCATGACAAGGTCAACGGCTTCTTCCTCGCCGAGGGTGTCAACATGGTGAGCTATCTTCATCCAGGTATGCCGTGCGCCGCCAGCACGAATCATGTTGAATATTTCCCTACGATAAAATCGGCTCCATTCTAGCAGGAGGAAAGGGATTTGCTGAACCATTCTCGCAGTAGAACAACAAAATACAAGAACTGCAGGGGAAATTCGGGACGTGACGAAAGTAATAGCTCTCGGTGTTGTATTTGACCCGGCTGATCCATGTGCATACGTCCAAGATATACTGAAATGTGTGTAGAATATATTTGCGCCAGAGAAGATGGGACGAAGCACACACACACACACACAAGCGCACCCACCGATGCATGTGCATATCGGGAGTCAATCGGCCGTGTACTGGGGAGTCACAATCGGAGTGACTGCGACACCCCTCGTTCCGCACCATGACCGGCGCCTAAACTGTTCTTGATTACGGGATGGTTTGCGATATCCTGTAAACACTGCACCAGTACCGCATTCCGATGGCAGCCGAGCATTCCTCCCAATTCGCCACAAGTATTGTGTTGGAGATTTTTTCTGCACAAGATGGGTTTAGCAGTGATCCCCCCAGGATTGTGCACAGGAGATAGAGACTCTCTGACTGATCGTCGAATTATACTTGGCTGGCAAGAAGTTGGCAGCAGCTATGTGCAATCAATCGACTGGTGCCTTTGCCAAGACCACCATGCATAGAACAGGCAGCAGCAAGGAAGCTAGAGCTGGACGGGTTGAAAGTTCCCACATAGCGGTTTTCCTTATGCACTAGTGTTTGGAGCAATCGCATTCTTGATGCGGTTACTCGCGGCGGGGTTCATGGTCGTGACATCTACGAGGACGCGCCTTTCTTCGCCTAATGCCTTTCAACACCACCAAGATTCGGGAACTTCTTGCCTTCGAGCTACATGTAGCTCATTCCCCATCAGAGCGAAACCCGGGACCTCTTTAACCCCCCTATGCATAGTACTGAAAGCCCAATTGGGGACACTTTGGGGACACGCCACTCAAATACCTGTTAACCGCACCGTGGCCGTCACTACGTCACAATGTTCCGCTGCGTGGCACGGGCGTGGGAACCCTTGGTCTAGCATGCTTGTGTGAGGTGGTAAGCTGTGTGGTATACTGCTGGATGATGCCTGTTTGCCTCTCCTGGGCCTCTGACTTGCTGTACACAATCTCTCAAGCCGAGGGTCCCCTTGTTGGTAAAACTGCTGTACATATCCTAGCACTGGTAGTTTTGCTGGCTTGGCAATAGTATAGAAAGCGTCCCCAGTGCATTTGGGGACTCTTTCCATGCTGAAGCCAAATCAGCCTTCGGCCCTCGGGACTGTACAGCCTCTCCCAATGAGCGGACGCGCTTTTTTTTGGACCCATAACCTGGAACTAGCTGGGCACTAGCAGGGTTAAACGCCGTGGATTATTTATCGATGTAATCCCACAACAGCCAACTGGTCGGGATTTCAGAAGTGATGCAAAAGGCGGGTGAAAAATATTGCAGTAGACATGATGTAGAGGGGAACAGAGGAGAAAGGGAGAACTCAAGAGAAGATGTCGACCAGGAAACAGGAAATAGTGCTGGCGAAAGGGACGATGATCGTGGCATGGAGGAGAAGGGTTTTTGTGGTAAAGAGGAGGAAATGGGAAAAAAAAGAAAGAGGTGGAAACTACGACGGAGAAGAAAGAGATGGCACGGACGAGAGCAAGAGTTTTGGCCCAGCTGGGCTCCTGCACAACAAACGAAACACACTTCGGTTCACGTTTGCAGGCCGTGTCCAATCAAAAGTGGACACTGCTTTGAGACGCCCACAGAGGGTATGCGTATTACCGCACGCCATTGGCTGCTGTTTGTGGATGTCGTGTACCTTAAACCCCTCTCCGGCATCCGTTTTGGACTGGTCACACCTGCAGCAGGAACAAAAACGGCTCTTTTTGCCCGAACCGCAAGAACGTTAGCAGAGCAACGTTGCAGGTTGATGTTTTCGGCTCGTGTGCGGCCAACAAGACGAAGCAAGCCTTGGGTTTTCGATACCTGCAGAGGGTTTGTGTATGACGTAACGGCATTGGCCTCTGTTTGGGCAGTAGGGACGGTGTAGTTCCTCGTTCTGGCACGATTGGGGGCGTAACCGCTCCTCGTTATTCTAACTTGAAAATATCCGCCTATCCAGTAAGAAAATTTGCCCATTTCCGTACTCGCGGGCGTGGATTCTTGGAAGCATTCAAGCTTTAAGAAAATGGGCGCTAAATGTAGGAATTTTTTCCTCCTCGCAAGCAGCCTACGTTTTATTCGGTTGTTCGAAAATGCCCCCCGCCCCAAAACAATCCAACTGAGAACACCACAGCGAAAGAAACGGCCTTCAAAAAGATTTGCACTGAGACTGGCCTATTGTCATTGGTCAGCATGTCAGCGCGGTCGATGCTAGCAATAATAACAGACGCACACACAGAGACTGACGTCTTTTAATTGGTCAGCCGGTTAGCGCGGTCGATGCTAATTTAAACACACACACACACGACCCGGCCGGTGCTGCTACTCAAGCCCTTACAGGATGGTCTGGGCAAGTTCAGTCATGTCATAGCACGATTTTTGTCTGGCTCATTTCGCATTCGCTTACTTCGTCTGTGACCGACCGACGTCCCTCCACGAGCCCTCTTGACACCCTTACTGCATGTGCGCACGAAGGTATGGACCAGCGAATGTTTTGAGCAGCGAACTTCGTCGTACTTCACACGAAGCACTGGTTGTCTGCTATGACCCGTCGATCGCACATTTTTTGTGCAGAATGGTACAACATCCCGTCGACCTCTGGTAGGCGTGAAATCTAGCCATATTGACATCATGCTGCTAGCAAGACCTTTTTGCCAGAATTTTCCATATCGGTACTTCACTCGACTTCGCGATGCCTATTTCATGTTTTTTTGAAGAGGTTCACGTCCGTATCCACCATGCGAAGTGTTGTCTTCGTGGGCGTGGATGGTGCATGTATGTGTCTACAAAGCGTACCTTATCGAAAGGCCAAAGTGTACCTTGTGCTCATACAGCAAGTGGGTAGATTGCTGCTTACCAGCAGCTATTACTTTACGTCGTGCGTGTACAGTAGGATATGGACATGTAGACACAAGCCAGGTAAATGGTGCTATGCAAGAGATGCAACAGGTCACTATTGCTGTTTCTCTCGCTTTGCCTTGTAAGTAGGGAACGATTCATGCTGTGTTTAATGGCAGGTCGCCTGAATCGCATCAGGTGAGGTCAGGTCAGGATAGGTTAGGTATATTCTGACCACCCTGGGGCACAGAGGACCATCGATACGTCGACCCTCTCGTTCTGCCTATCGAACATCGTCCATCCACACTCCTCCGTGTTCCCGGCACCAGCTACACCCGCAATCTTTGGAGTCGTTCGACGGGCCGTACGACTTGTGGGAGGAAGCCGCGAAGGAATCGCTAGAGCTGTTGCTGGACGCCGGTAACCACCCGATGATCCTTATCGACAGGTACCATACCCCGTCCATTCCGACGTCTTCATCAGTTGCATCCCTCTCCTCATTGCTTGGTAGTCGAACGATGTGATGTGGCAGATGATGCCAGAGGAGAGCTCTAACAGTGGCATAGACCACTTCGAGAAGGTTCTTGTAGGCCTGCCTTCATGGCCAAGCGTGAGCTCGTCAACCGGGAAGAAGAATGCACACACGCCTTACCGAAGCTTGCTCCCGACGCTTTGCTGGTGCCATGCCTTCGAAACGGTCGAGCAGCCCAACTGAGTGCGAGTCGGCGTGCCTGGTGGGCTGTCTCCGCCGCCTGCAGCACTGGAGCATGGTGGCCATCCACGACGAGGCAAGCAAGTGGTGATACTCTTTTCTTGATGTGTCGCCACACGGAACATACGACTAGGAGCCTGAGAACACTACTGCACGAGCAGATGCCACTAGCTCCATGGCGAAGGAAATGTCAGCTGGCGATCTTGTTCGCGCGGGCGGAGCTTCGTAGCACCGTGGTCTTTGAAACGCTCGAGATTTTAACCGTCGCAGCCCTCGGCATGATATTCCGGCCCGGTCGGTTTACTTTGCCGATACGTTCCCCTCATTCAGGACCAAATTCCGCTTTGAATTATGCCCAATTCGAAACTCGCATCAATCCTTGCTCTCCCCAGTACCACATGGTGACCATGCGGAACACGCGATACAGCACGAGCCAGAGATTCATCGAGAGGTTCGACCTGGACATCGTCACCCTGAAGGCGAAAGCGAACCTGCCGCCCTGGTACAGGAACCACCTCGACATGCTCGTGAGAGCCGTCTTCCTGTTGTCGAGCTGTGCGGCACTTCCCGCGGACCTGTGTGTGCGATTTTATTGTTTTGGTCTTGGAATCGAATCGGTGTTTCATGCTGTAGGGTTTCCGTGGCGATGCACCGGTGTACCTCTCAGGCAAAATTCTTGTTTTGAAGGTGGTGCCAGTCACTGATCAGCCCTTCCCTTGTTCAAGAATGGAAGTAAAGCAAGGCGGCAGGACAGGTGGACAATTGATCCTTGGTGAGCCCGGGTGTTGCGTTGAACACGTACCAAAGAGTGTAGACTTGGTGCCCAGAAGAGATCCGACAAGAAAAAACGAAGTGATGCATAGCACTTTTGTTGGGGAACATTTCCCTCTCGCCTTTCTCGTTACGCGTGGTTGCGTGCCATCGCAGGAAGAGGAGCGAACAGCCGAAGCAGAACTGGCTCGTCGAGACCCAGACCGGCCCGCGCGGGCGTGGACGCACGGCGTCTTGCCCACCCCTCTACCCCCCGAACAGAGAGAGGGAGAAAACGAAGGCTCGGAGAGAAATACGCCGAATAAAATGCCGGCGGATCCGCGCCAGCCTATTTCACGGACCAACCAGAGTGAGAACATCGTTTCGCACGAGCGGGGACGGCCACTATCCGACCAATCAACGGTCGACGGCGATCAAGGTTACTTTCAGGCCGTCGGCGGGACACACACGGAAGTCGTAGAAGAAGCAGTTGCGGCGAGATCTGGACAGTCGGCACAAGGGGGTGATGACGAAGAGACAATTGAAGGACGGGCAACTGAAAGGAGAACAGCAGGAGCCGGGGGAGGGGAGGGGGACGGGGGAGAGAGGGGAGGCGGAGATGAAGAGGAGGGGACAAGAGCGGGGGTGGAGGTGGCGCGGAAGGTGGTACCGGACTTTCGACTGAACGGTTTCGTTTACGTTTGTCCGCTGGTGTCGGAGGGGTGCACCTTCACCGCGAAGGCCTGGCTGCAGGACGAGGACGACTGACATGTGGTGTCTTTCGGGGTCCTGGCTACTGTAGGAGTGTACGTTTTGTTTTGGTTGAGGCCTCTCTGATGTGTACCAGATTGACTGGTTTGTTGGTGATTAGTTGCTCCGGCGCGATCAGTGTTTCCAGCTCGAAATACGTTCAATCGACGAGAAGTATGCTGTCATCATTTTGTACCGATTGAATCCACATCTGTTAGCGGTCTCGCAAAGTTCGTTATTGTTGATGGAGAGGTGCGCCATGGTTTTGTTCGGGACGGTACGAGCTACGACGTAGGCGACTGGCAAGGATGAGCTGCGTCAAGAGGGCACGTGGATTCAAATACATGACTCCCCCCCCCCCCCCCCCCCACCTCGTCGCTTGGCAACGGCGTTGTACAACAAGCGGATCACTTCGTGAGCTCGGCAACCAGATTACCGAATTTTGTTTTTTGCAGCAACCATAGTGGTGGTCGAGTAGATTATGGTGCGGGATCGAGAACCCTCACTCCGCGCAAAGGGGATTGTCGCACCACATCCGGTTAAATTGGTGAAGCACCCTCGAGGCAGTTACCAGTGCTTGTAACTGTCTCTGCGATTGAAAGCACCAGAAAATGAAGAATGCCATTCACAGCTGTCATCCTTATGCAAGGAAGAAAGCACAAGATGCCGAACACCCTTACCAGGATGCAGCTCACCCTTCATGCGACTCGCCGAATACCTCACGGCGCTTCGCGCTTGGTGATGTGAGAGCCTGGTCCGGTGAGATCTCGGCGTGCTCCGTCCCGGCTTTGTAGGGATGCGAGATCAATGGCCTAATGACTACGGCATGCACTACTATGAGTACACCGCCCCCACCCACCCCAGCCGTCGATTGTTTGGGCGCCTACTTGTACTGTAATCCAATTTTGTCAAGGCGATTTTATTGCAGGACTTGGTTGGTTGGACAGTAAAGTATGATATTCGGGTTAATCTACACTTTAATGTGACAGTATGAAACCCATGCAATTAAGAAGTGGATACTTGTAGGACACATCATCATCATATATATGTACTCGCGCGTCGCGTACATGTACACTGGAGGGAGGGGTGGTGCAGAGGAAGCTCGCTGCAGTAGCTCGGTGCAGCGACCAAGGCCAGGGGTGTTGGTGTTGTGTTGGGTTTGTTTCTGGTTAGTGTTTTAGGAATATATATGCACATGTAGGGTTTACTACATACAACACCGCACAAAATACGGCTACTTACATTCCTTGCGTACATACATGCAATAGTGCCAGAAACCTAAAAATATGAAGCTGGAAGCTCCACTCTCGCCGACATGAACACTTTTTTGTCGCCGACCCTCTCATTCCGATTCCCCCAACCCGTGCCCGGCCGTGCCTCAAAAACCGATCTGAGCTACGGCGCACGGCTTGCGACATCTCGAGTGCCTCGATAGGGCATTGGAAATCATGGCCAGTCGCCAAAGTTTGATCGACTTCCGCGTGCAGTAGCGTGCATTACAAGTGTGCGGCTTATGTGCGACGATGGGCGCTGTTTCTCTCTCGTCTCCACTCGTTCGAAAGTCTGCCTGTCCTCATTGCTCATTTTGGAACATTAGAACGTCATGGTCAGGTTGGTAGAAATCAACAGACCGATCTCGACCAACGGCGCACGTTTCCCGATATCTTGGAATATTTCCCCATAGGGCATGTCGCGAGCCATGCCCTCTAGCCGAAGTTCAACCCCGTCCGCGCGCAACAGCAGACACAACAAGTGTGCGAACATGCATTTCCTCGTCTTGACCACTTCGCCGTCTTTCTGTCCCTCTTCTTTTGATCTGGAAGCATTTCGGAAGAAAATGAATATCTCGCCTTCTACGTTCTCAAATAATAAATCTATCCTCTCCTCCTATTATTGTAGAAACAAGGCGCAATACATGAAATCAAGTTGGTCGGTGGGGCTGTCCGGCCCTCTTGCTCAATGAACTTCGGAGAAATGAATCTCACTTTCCTATATTTTTCGAATAGAATATTTCGGAGAAATGAGTCAAACGTCTCCTTCTATAACCCAAACCTCAGGTTGTTGGCGGGTTGGACTTCTTTCTGCCCCCCGGAATGACTTTTGGAGAGAGGAATATCACTTCTTCTAAGATAATTGAACATCAATTCTCCTAAGATAATTGGATGTCCCTTCATTCCGGAAAATGAAATTTCAGGGTGTTGGCTGGTGGGGCTTTTCCGCCCTCCTCACTCAATGAATTTGGAGATATAAATGAATCTATCTCACCTCGTTTGAAAACGTATTCTCACTTCTCCTATTGTTATGGTCGAAGTATTTCGGAAGAATGGAATCGCAGGTTGTTGGCCGGCTGGGGGTTCCGCTCGTCTCGTACAATGAGTTTCGGAGATATGAATAATTTCACTTCTTCTCATATTCTTGTAGAAATACTGTGGAGAAATGAATCTCACTTGTCCTAGTTGTTATGGAAATATTACAGAAGAAGGAAATGTCAGCTTGTTGGCCGGTGGGTCACTCTTCTCCTATTGGTGTTGTAGAAAATATTCGGGAAAATGGAATCTCAGGTTGTTGGCCGGCGGGGCTTTCCCGCCCCTCTCCTCTGCCCCCACTCGCCATACACACATCATCGTCCATCGCTTATCCACCGTTCATCATCGCCATCCATCTTTCTCGAGCATGCTGAACCTTCATGCCGTCGGACGCAGCTGCGATGTGGGTGGGGGACCTGCGCGTCGTCGAACTGGAACGCCGGGAGCACCCGTTAATCACGGCGGACGATGCAGCACGCCAACTAAATATGCCTTGTGTGCGAAGGCACTCTCTTCGACGGAAGATTGCGAGCAAGATGTGGATCGTAGCCTAAAGTACTACACACAGTCTTTGGTGAAGCTCTACATGAACGTTATCTGAGCAGTTGTGCCGTCGCCACTCAGATGAAATTCACTCCTCCCTCACTGCTGTTCTTGCTGGTTACGTCAAAATTGATGCGGGTTCGGTTCATGGCGTTGTCAGTGCTGCTTTCGCTTTCTGTCGTCCTTACCTACTACGCTGCACTCTTGTCCCTCGTGGTCCTTATTCCATCCCCGTCGCCGCCCCGTTGTGTTTTCAGATGCAACACCTGCGGACATCACGTGTCACTCAGCAAAGAGGAGTCCAGGACGGCGGTAAAAAATCAAACTACATTCCTCGGTTGCAATAATCTGTCAATGCTGTGAGTACATCCAACAGCCCCCCTGCTCGCTGCATTGTCAAGATTGTACCCGAACTTGCTTATATTATGCATCACACGAAACCCATCCCAAAAACTCCAGAAATCAATGTCATTGTGCAACAGTCGTTTCTCCTCCCATTCTCTTGCAACAACCATAAACCATTAAACCAGAGAGACTAGTTCGAACTTCCATTGGTCGCAAACGAACCAGAAATACCTACTACCAGAATCTCCATCGGTCTCCATTGTATCCAGAATTTCCAAAGATCAAAACATTCACTAAAAACCATTAAACCAGAAACACTTGATTGCAATTCCCATCGGTTCCAAACCATTAAACCAGGAACACCACCAACAATTTCCATCGGTCGCTCATGAATTTCAAATTCCCAATATCAAATCATCCAAAACTCAAATCGTGGAAACAACCGCAATGGGTTATATCAGGAACAAATGAAAACAAACACAAATGCAAACACATCCAACACCGTCCGGGACAAATCACTTTCCGAGGAGACTTCAAATCCACACGTAGCACAAGAATCATGATTGCACAAAAATGCTCGACTCCACAACAATACCTCATCCTCATAACAACACGAAGACCATCAATACAAAAAAACCTTTCGAGTATTTTCTATCGGCCAATCTTGAATTCAATGTCCAACAAACACGATGAAATTACAAACCAGAATACCTCAGCAACATGGGAGCAACACCAAACCTGCCTCAGAAACAAAATCTCCTTGAAACATGTGACATCGCTACGTGCCCTGCCTGCGTGGTTGACAGCGCGAGGTACATTGGAGTCATGGAGTGCTACAAAGATAGGCCCCCCTTCTTCTTTCATTATTTTTCCTCAAACACAAACAAACCTCCGTTCAGTTTCCTACAATACCTTTTATTTTCTTCCTGCATACCCTACCCATGCATGTCTGGCTGCGGCCCCCCTTCTCCGAACACCAGACGTGAAGGGATCAACCCTCTACTTGATAAACGCATCTTGTGACATTTGGGTACTGGAAACAACCCCAAAATCGCAACCTGCATTGTCAAATCCCGAACTCTGCAAATCGAACATCGAAAACAGACGAAACATTCCATTCTTCGTAAAATTGCTGTAGTTAATTGTCATGACACACCAATTCCCCCCCCAATGACAATTGACAACAGCATCGAAGACATAGCATTTTATATAAATAGAGGGGTTACCCCTGGCCGATGGTACATGGAGAGGCGCGCCAAACACACAGGGGACAACAACAACGTAGATAGAGCCTTCTACCTAAAAAAATGCCACACGCAGAAGGAAAAAACAAAAACAACAAGCACAACCATAGTAGCGGCCTTCGCGACATGGCCGCAAGGATTCAAACCAATAACCCTATTCCATCATCATGATCCTTTCTGAACAGTTTCAACGCAGCCTTCATGCCGTCAAATATTCTTGCAGGTGCAATTTCAATCGCAAAACCAAATCCGAAAGAACGCCGAAACAAGCCAAAACCAAAAACCAAACAAAAAAACAATTCCGGATCCACAAACCCGCATACATCTGTCACTAAACTGCCGTTGCCCGTGGTTTCCATCCCCGCTGGGCGATGCATCCTTCTCTGGAAATTATCTCAAACCGTCAACAGCACGGAACCATTCTCAGACAAATACCAAACAAGCGGCAGCGCTGCATCAGAAAAACATCGGAATGGGGACGGACAATTCTGAGGAAAACAGCTTCAAAGAGTAGGCACAAAAACTCAAACGAAACAATGTTACAATTTCTTGGACGACAGAAACGAGTATTCGGAAAGCGCATAGGCCCTAACAATCACTCCTGCCAACTCCTTGCTCCAGTATAGTCGTTGAGCACCAAACTAAACAGTGCGCACACGCAAATCGGTGCCGCCGTTGCTGTCCACGAAACGGATAGAAAACTAAACAAACATATAGACAGCCCCCCCTGTCACATCCCGAAACATACCCCTTACATTTCCAGAGTTCATGCAAGAACACTCCGCGAATATCAAAATGCCAACTAACAAACATGGAGACAGCCCCCCTGCAAAGGTAGCTGTTCATATGGGGAAACAAAAACAAATCGATTGCTGTTCATGCCCTCTAGAATCATGGTCACACATGACATCCC